TTATAGACAGTAAGAGAGAAATGTTTCCAGCAGATTTTCAATTGCAAAAGTATAAATTGCCACCTAAGCATAGAAAAACTCCCCGACGTTGAAAACTTTATTACTTTTAAACACCTTTTTTTCTGATCAAAGCATATTGTAGGATACATATTGGTAGGTAAGTATGCAAATAAAATAACTAAAATGAATTAACTTTGGTCAATCTTGGGAAGAGGTCTGCTGGACCATTCCTTACTGAATAAGGTGGCAACACAAGAATTAGAATTTGTATTGAAACAAAAAGCATTAGCTGTGGACAATCTTGATCTGGATCCGTTACCTCTGCAAGGCCCTTCCCATGGATAGAAGCTCATATATTTTGGTTTGATAATGACACTGAAAGCCATTAACGCCGCGGTAAACGAGAAAAATGTTCAATTAARCAACCAACATCCCACACTGATGGGCGATCTAGTATTTTTTCTTAAATTCTGAGATGGTCGAGCACCTTAAAACTCCATTTATCACGCATTGTCCTTAATGCGGCTTAAAAACATTCAAAACCATCAAAGAAGAAGCTGGCTYAACAATGGAGTATTATAATTTTCCATTGAATGTCTTTCATTTTGTATTAAAAGATCCTTCAAGAAATAATTAACTATTACTTATTTTTTCTCCTGGCGAAAATCTTACCTCTCAAACAAGACCAACTTCTATTTTGTATCTTGTTGTTGGTTGCAGTTGATATCTTGATCACCCTAAACATAAAGACTCTGGCCTTGAATAAAAGAAATGCATCGTTTTATTGCCACAGAGGCCAATATACGTTGTTTTTACAGTTGTTATTCACCCAATTAAAAAACTCATTCAAAAAATCATGAAATGTCAGTCGATSATTGCGGAAAAACCACCAACAAAGCGTTTAACATCAATTGATGTCATCTCGTCGGGGTGGGGGTCTTTACTAATTTACCGGCGTCAAACAGCGAATTCTTAATATTCGAGTAATGTTAATGACATTGGTATCTAGAAAAAATCATTTGACCCCAGGCATTACATTTTAGACTTTAATTCGAGCATTAGAAAACATCTCCAACAGAGATCTTGGCGGGTATTGGACTACCTGTGGTAAGGAAATCGTGAGGAAGCAAGTACTGGTCAGGTACAAAACCTTGATGAAGAGAGTTGCTTTGAGAGTGTTATACCAAATATGGACAAAATGGTTCATCCCACCAATGACGTCATGGTTGTGAACGCGAAATGCATCATGGTATTGATAAAAATGTCAAAATGGCGGTTGTCTTACGAAAACTATGAAGGACGATGTATCTTTAGCATTAACGTTATTCGTTGTTCGAGATGTTTTAGAAAAGAAAATAAAAAAATTAATTTGATTTCTTAAGAACATTTGGAGAGGTAAATTACAGATAACGTTAGACTTTATATTCAAAATTGTTTCAAGGAACAATGTCTGATCTAAGAAGCACTAAATCATGTTGAATTAATTTAACTCGTAAAGTCTGCGCTCTCATTATAACCTTTGTTTTCACATCATCGATATTTTAAAAGTTCTTCTCAGGATATCTTTGCGCCAATGTGTTAAATAAAAGTTTATTTTGAAATAGCTTATTTAAAAAAATGGATAACGGCATTTTTTCGATATTTTCCTTTCGAAATTAAGGGGATTTGAAAATTGACTTGAGGATAAAAAATTACTTGGTCCAAAGGTTAATGACTTTTAATGTTAATTTGGCACTCGAATCAAATAAAGTTCATTGTATTGACGGTCTTGTCAAGATAATTATCAAGAGTAAAGACACAGGGTGCMAACGTTTGACCAAAGGAATTATCAGCAAGCTTCTGTTGATTAGAAGCTAACAAGTCTGTCAATCTTAATAGATTTTTTTACAATTTTGACATGGATTAATATATCCATTTGGCGATAAAACCAATGATTTGATGACAAGAATTCATTTGACGAGAAAAATCAGGTCTGTCAATTTCAATAATAATCTTTTGAATTGAAATGTCCATTTGGAGATGTCAGCAATGATTGAACTGAAAGAATAGATTAATGAGATAAACTGAAGAAAGAATAGCTCTTTCCTTTTGAGATGCTTTCAATGTGCACTTATGTCAATTAACGATGGAAATACCTCATTGGAATTTGGCTCATTATAGAAATCGTGTAGACTTTTTCAATAGCAAGGCTGAACCATTGAAGTATCAAGTGCTTTTCGTTAGCTTCAAGAAATAGCCTATCAAGAATCAATTATGAAAGTAAGCTTCAAATGGAAGTAGGCCTCATTGTAATATCTGTTCTCGCTTCGGTTACAAACGCTGCGGTAATCATTATGGTAATCGCTATCAAAGAACTCAGGACTTTCAATAATGTCTTTGTTGCATCTCTAGCTGTGTCTGACATGTTGACTGGTGCAGTTCTAGTACCACTTCATTTGGCAGATCACTATGAAGTGTCAGGATTTTTGAGTTTTACAATCATGATATCGGGGGTATTGAATCTTTGCGCAGTGACGTGGGATAGATACGTGGCTGTTACGGATCCATTTGGATACAAAGATAAACTACAGAAATGCCACGGAAAACTGCTTTTCGCAATCTGGACGACAGCAAGCTTGTCCACCCTGATTCCACTAGCTTGGGATAACGATATCACTACAGAGTACCATAAATGGTTCCTTATTTTGTCGTTATTGATACTCGTACTTATCCCTTATGGTTTTATTGTCGCTGCGTACGTACGTATTTGGTTACGTCTGCGATCGCACGCCGCACAGATGAAGCAAGTTAGCATAAGCAACGAGCAGAGAGAAGGAGCAAGAAGAGCATCACTCGAGGGTAAGACGGTCAAGGTGTTCCTGGTAGTGGTGTCTGTGTTCCTGGTCAGCTGGCTTCCTGTCATTTACATGACCACTGTAGGGTTGATGCTTGGCAGACTAGATCTCATTCCTCCGCATCTTTCCATGCTATCATGGTATACCATTACCGGGTCGTCATTGATCAATCCAATACTTTACGGCATCATGAAGAGAGATTTTTATGTCCAGTTCCGTCGTCTTTGTTCGTCAATAGTGGATCCTTGGACATCACCAACTTAAACAGTCTTTAAAAGACTAAAGCTTGGCCATTGAGTTACTCATAGGAAAAGTTTACAAGTAACCCCAGCAACAGCATCTGATTGGATACAGAATCGAATATTAGTTCGAGGAGACACTTTACCCCATTAATTGCTGGTTAGGCATCTGGATAAAAACCTTGCATTTAAAATTTTAAAATGTCTCGTCAAAGGACACAATTCAATAAGTTGTCAAAACTATGATATTTTTTAATCTTCAGTTAAATGAATATTTTCCTAAACCTCAATTCAAGGGAAAAAAACACTTGGTTCTGTTCAATTTTTGTTGTTGTTGTTGTTGCTGTTGTTACTGTTGACAGCAGCCCCATCTTTTTGAACTGAAAAAAGGCAGTGCAAAATTCAGTTAAGCCTAGAAGACTTGAAATTCAGTGAAAAACTATAGCAACCTCTCTTTATTTATAAAACATTGCTCCACATTATCATTGACACTGTTTTAGATGCCCAGATGTTCAATTTGTTTGCTTCATTTGAATTGCTCTGTCAAATCAACCTTCAGTGTTGTTAAGCTTTTCGGGTAGAGCTGCTACGACTCGAATTGATCTAAATTACCTAATTATATTAATATTTACCAACCCAGTGTTTTTTCGTCGTTGATACGAACGCTGGTTTTATCTATATGGTGATTGTTGGAAATAATGAGTGCGAATAAGTTAAATTAAGGTTRTTATTCTGGATTGCGTTGATTGGATTTTATATTGCTATTGATACAAATGTACCCAGATGGCAAATTTCTTGCTATATATGGACATAAAGAGCTAAAAAAAATCAAATTTAATTTATAGACTAGTACTTATTTACCTTTTTTATAGGAGATTGGCTTTATTGAGTCCATTACTCTTACAAGAAGAGTTCTATAAGTACCGTGTCATCTTTTATCGTATGATAGCTTATTTCATCTTGTTTCATATACCCAAACTTTGATTCAATTTTTCCACTGTGTTGATAATGTTTCAACATTCGCAAAGAATCCAATCGTCTTTGTCATAAATGGAAGAAACACTGCTCGTTGTCTCTGTTCTCGTCATAACTGCAAACGCTGGCATCATTGGTATGGTCATTTTCAYCAAAGAACTTAGAACTTTCACCAACTACCTTGTAGTGTCTTTGGCTGTGTCTGACATGTTGACTGGTGTTAATCTGTTACCACTGGCATGCGGTTATCCCATTGTTGCACGACTTTTAAGTTTTGCAACTGTTTCATCTGGGGTATTGAGTCTTTGCACGATGACGTGGGATAGATACGTGGCTGTTACCGATCCTTTTGGCTACAAAGAAAAACTACAGAGATACTACAAGAAACTCATTATCGCAATCTGGATAACAGCAATAATGGTTCCCCTCACTCAACTAATAACTTGGTACTTTGACCATACGAAGGCGTATAGTAAATGGTTGCTCGTTTTGTCACTACTGATGTTCATATTCGTCCCTTACGTTTTTATTGTCGCCSCGTACGTACGTATTTGGCTACGTCTGCGATCGCACGCGGCAGAGATGAAGAGAATCAACATGACAAACGAGCAGCGAGATGGAGCAAGAAGAGCATCGCTCGAGGGTAAGACGGTCAAGTTGTTCGTTGTGGTGGTGTCTCTCTTCCTGGTCAGCTGGTTTCAATGTGGTTTCCTCTCATCTACGTGAATACTGTTGGAATTGTGCTCTGTAGACCAGATCTCGTCCACCCTTATCTTCCCATGACAACATGGTACTCCGCTGCCGGCTCATCATTGATCAACCCAATCCTTTATGGTTTCATGAAGAGAGATTTTGTCGCCCTGCTWCACCGTCGACGAAATCCAAGAGTGAATCTCTATGCAAAAACTGAAAAAGGATCCAGATAGGTCTTTTGTGGTACTTTTCATGAGTAAATATTTAACAAATTTATAGTAGTTTCTCGTGGTATGTTTTCTACATCTCATCATGAAAATTATGTTTTTTTTTTACAAATAAATAGCAATCCCAGAATCAGAGAGCAATCATGCAACAGTAACAGCTGTCGACCATTCAGAAATCGAGAAGATTTACAAGTGTTGTAYATAGTCCATTTTTTGCCAACGGATGAATTCATTTGTTAAGATGCTCAGGGACGAAAATTTAACAAACTYAACAACAACAACGAAATCTTTTGAATAAATTTTTCGAGATAGTCCATGAATTTGCAACTCGATTTGAAGAGGTACCTTTCAAAAACAAATCCCCCGAGAAGTCTTTACGCTGGAAAAAATAGGAGACAAAAGGCAGATGGAGAAAAAACTCTCTGGCGACTGATTTTCTCATCAAATCATCTTTTTCGTCCAATCATTGGTTTCATTTCTCAAACTGAAAGATAATAGGAAAAACATATCATATCTTGAAAGTATCAATTGATGAAAAAGCATGTTATCATAAACATAAACAGAGCTGAACGAACTAATGGGACAGCAGTTATAGTCCAAATTTCATCAATGATATATATTGCTATTGGTCCAAATGTGGCCAGATGGTAAATTTGATGCTATATTTGRCCATGGTGTGCTACCATATTAAGTTTTGAAGTGTTATGAATGGCTTTCTTTTGACATTTACAATATTAAAAACTCTTTGCCAAAGCTGAGAGGCTCAATTCAGCGCCCA